ACAACTGACCAGACAGGAGGTGAAAATATAAATGCATTCCGTCTGCTACAATAAAGAGGGGACACACATCTAAAAAGATGACTCGGGCATACTTAACAGGCTCTAGTTTACATGTTTATAAACTATAACAAATTCACTTTAACTCTTCTACGTTTAATAACATTTTCCGGATCAAAGGCAATTTTACTACTCGTAGACCATGAGCGAATAATGGTCCATGTGTATGGTTTGTATGCCATGCCCACACAGTACTTTTACTGTGCCAATGGAAGGGCGCGGCCCCTTTTTTAAGTAGGAGCGGTGAGTTGATGATAATAGGTTGTCAGTTAATAAGACAATGTTTTCTGTTACGGTCTTCATTATTACTAGAATAGGAGAGATGAGGGCGCTCAGAACCTGGATGATGAAGGTTTTGAGTCAGGCTTCGGTGTAATATTAGTGGAATATATTATAATAAATTAATTTCCAACCCTATTCATGCATCAAATCATGAAGCAAAGCGGAGGGAACATCTGAATAGAAAATTGTTTACGCTTAATAAAGAGATAGCTTGTAAGATTTGAGGTTTTCTCGGCGGTGAGTTTGAAGATGGCTGTCTTCTGGGTTGTTTCGCAGTGTAGTCTGGTAGAAGTTCACCGAAGTTTCAGAGGTCCTTACTGATTCCATCATCAGGGCGATACAGCCATCTTCAATAGATAGCTTGTAAGAAGATAATAAATTTCACCAATATTACAAAATTAAGAAATACAGCAACTTACATTAAAATCAGATGCAAATGGGAGAATAAAATAAAGAATTTATCATTTGAATTAGGGAGTAATAAGACATAGTATGAACAGTAGGAAATAACAAGCATAGTTATATTAGAGAGAGCTGTGGTCCGCAGAAACGTGGTATTAGACGGTGTCAGCTTGTGTAAAGAGATCTAAATAAATAGTTCATCTCATTTGTACAAAGGAACAACAGCTGGAACGTACAATGCACACAAATTTTCATAATCATTTACAACACAGTATTCTGTTCGACTGTTACTGGCAGCTCCTTCTCTGGGGATAAACAAACACGCAAGTGTGAAGCGGACACAATTCCACCTACACCGAAATAAGAATGAGTGGGGTTGTATCTCCATTGTTCCTACATATCGTCGTGGCGTGCTTCTAGGTTCACGACTGTACCATCGTCAAAGATGTCCAATCTACCGAACCACTTTCATGTTATCATCCCGCAATTTTTTAAACTAGTTTGCTTCAGGAGATTAAAATAGCCACGCTCTTTCGTCCTTCAATTTAGAGAGCACGTGGCGCTCATCTTAACAGCTGACATCACTCTGTGTACTGAATTTCAATCTCGGGCATCTCTGGCGAGGTTCACATCGCGCGAATCACGAAGTTATGGAGCTTGGCATATCACACCGTTAAACAAAACACACAACAGAATTACTCGCACACGCACTACCTGCTGCTGATTTCAATAAAGAAAAATAAAAAAGAACAAGGACACAAAATAATGAAAAGAGAGAGACGAAGGACGAGAAAATGGAATAAAAATAAAGAAAACAGTACCGCCACGAGGCCAGGAGGTAAAGTGAATTCCGGTTAATTGAAACACATCGGCACTAGAACACTTTGGCCCAATCAAGCGGCTGCCCAAATTATGCCAAGTTCCACGCAAAGACTTAAAAAGGTTTGTTCTTTAAGATTTATCCCAAATAAACGGCTGCCCCAATTATGCCAAGTTCCACGTAAAGCGCTAAAAAGATTTGTTCTTAAAGATTTATCCCAAATAAACGGATGCCCCAATTATGCCACGTTCCACGTAAAGAGTTAAAAAGATTTGTTCTGCAAGATTTATCCCAAATAAACGGCTGCCCCAATTATGCCAAGTTCCACGTAAAGCGTTAAAGAGATTTCTTCTTTAAGATCTATCCCAAATAAACGGCTGCCCCAATTATGCCACGTTCCACGTAAAGAATTAAAAAGATTTGTTCTTTAAGACTTATCCCAAATAAACGGCTGCCCCAATTATGCCAAGTTCCACGTAAAGAGTTAAAAAGATTTGTTCTTTAAGATTTATCCCAAATAAACGGCTGCCGCGATTAACCGATGGTCCAATTAACCGGAATCCACTGTAATTGGTGCGGAAGTATCGACTGCAGCGTTTAACATCTGAAGATCATTTATCAAGCATTCAAACTTCTCTACTACTACTCCTTCCACAAAGTGGATAAAATAAACGCACATGTCTAACCGGAAGGTCGTGGCTGTAGAGCAATTTTGAAGCAATGCAGTTCCACGATCGAAATTACTCAACGGATTTCGATTAAATTAGGTACTGAGGAGTCTACATAGGAGCGAATTTAATTTTGGTGCGTGCTGGCCAACTACAACCCCTACTTTATATCTGTAGCTCAAATCGATTTACATTTTCTTAATAACGTTCATCGTATGAAACTGTAAGCTCTAAATAACACTAAACACAGATTCCGTTAAAATCTTTTGCTGGTGTGGTGAATACTTGCAGAAACACAGGTTGAAAATAATTTCTGACTTCTCAGTGTGATGTCTGCAGAGTGTATTTGACTTGCAACAGAATATTTGCATCTGCAGTAACAGAAATGAAGGCCAATACGAACGCGTGTGAAAAATACGAGTAAGCAAAACAGAGTAAACTGCTACACTTCTGTGACTATTTTTGCATTAACAGCATGGTAGAAAGATTTATGCCAAAATCTGTTTGACGCTCTCTCCATGTTAAATTACGACATATACGAGTGTGTGTGGATCTTTATACAGATAAAATTGAACTAATTAAACAGCTCACTTGTCGACAATCGATTATTGTTAAGATGGGAACTCTTGTCATAACACACAGCCATGTATTAGTGCTTATTTTGAGAATAAGTAAAGCGACATGAGACCCAGTCATATGATATTTAAACATGCCACTTCAACTGCAGAACGCAATAAGATGGAGGGACAACGTAATCACAAACAGTGAGTATGTAAGAATTTGGAAGAAATTGGTAGTGATCTGTCAAGGCGACAGAGCAGAGTTCTTCTGGAGAATAAGCAAACTTTGATACTGAAATCAGATACCTCTCAAATACAAGTCTAGTCCGTTGCCACTACACTAACATGTCCTTTTTGATAATCACAAACGGCAAGTAGGTAAGGATTTGGAAGGAGTTATTATCCCAAGGTAATATCCCAGCATTCGCTCACAGAAACAAGAAAACTAACATCTCTGTCACATTTGCTCATTAACATTCAAAAAAAGTACCTCTCAAATACAAGTACTGAGCGCTAACCATTCGTAGGGACAGGCAATCAGTGACAAAATGATTAAAAAAAGCTACTGTAGTATGACGGCGGAAAATCAATACAGCTACATGAAGTCGCATACGACTGTAATCGATTCCCAGGTAGATTAGAGACACTAAGTACGCAACGCATTAACCTAATCTGAAAATGCTTATCTGACGTCGCGACTACTCAACGCGTCCTGTGTAATAAAATCAGAACTGTTTCCCTGCTTCCCTGTAGTTCTCACAACTACACGTCAGAAGATCACAGTATCAAATTCTGGCAAATGTTCGTTTGCGCTTTAAGATTTCTTATAAACCATAGCAAAACTATACAACAATGTAGGTCAAAACCGTGTAGCCATGTATATCTACATGTACTACCGCCAACCAAACTGCGTATCTGAAGACTAGGGTTTGATTCCCGATAAAGGCAGACTGGCTTTGGGATCAACCCAGCCCCCTATCCAAAGGGTACAGGGCGACCTCCCCGGGGGCTGAAACTGACCACTCACAAATAGCCAATGCCAAGGTTAAGAATGTTTGGAGCTGTACCTCCTCAGTTTGCGCTTATTATTCGTGTCCTCTCGACTTAGATTCTCGTCCGGACTGAGTTGACTTTCCTTTAAATAGCACAAGGTCTCTTCATTAACCCTTTGAGGCTAAAGCTCGTCTAAACATTATTTAAGCATTCAGTCCGTACCGCAAAGGAAGCATCGCTCCATCAATACGAAGACCCACTTGTTAATGTAATTTAAGGAAATAATCTCGCATTTGATGTTGTATATAACCTGTGCAGTTGAAAAATATATCTTTAAAAAAAGGTACCTTGTTAAGAACCTGTAAAACTATTACATTGGTAAAAAAATTAACAACTCCAAGAATAGGAATTTTCTTCAGCTTTCCCTATCCAACTGGCCAAATAATTAATCGAAATGGTAGTAATTGCGTTCGACACCGTGACTACAAATTCTTTCCAATGCAACTAGCACTGAACCACTTCAATGCAGTTGTCTTCGTACCGTTACTCCAACATGCATTCTAACTGCATATTAATATTAACACCTAGGTTTAAATTCATGAAATTTACGAACCACAAAATTCTAAGCATTTATTTTATCGTCTAGGCCACAGATCCCTAAATCCCTTAATAAGTACAGTCAGTAGAGGATACGAAGCATCATCGGTTCCTTCCAATATCGTGTAAGCAACAACAAAAGATGTGAACCTTTGAAATAGATTAACCCCTTCAAAGGTAAGAACATTTCTTTCTCACGAATTCCAACCACTTCCGATCGTAATGACCTCGGTATTTAATAATGGAAAGAATATACGTCAGGATTCTATCAGTAGATTCAAATTGTTTGTAGCGTTCCAATAATGTAATTAAGTTGTAATATTTATGATATGCAAATAAGAGTAGGCATCTGTGTTAATTAGAGCTGTTCTGTATTAGAGGGTTAGTAACAGCTGATCCACGCTGCGAAACGAAAAAGTACAAGCGAACGAAGAAGATGGAGAGGAAAGACGCATAGGAAACAGAAAAGACGTGGAAATAACATCGAAGAATATCAACTAAACGTGGAAGAAAGAGGAAACGATGAAGAAGTGACAGAGACGAACGAGGAGGATGACTGTCAGTCGTCTAACCTAAACAGACTCATTCAGCTCTCAATTCGTAATTTGCGGAAATACTTACTTCATTTGTTTGACTATCGTACTTTTCCCGGATTCACCAGCACCTGAAACAAAGAAAAAGATGACTGCATTACATGAATAAGCGATCCTGACCATTAATAATAATTAAACTCTTCTCTGGCCCCATTTTGAATACGCTCTCTCCCCCAAAACAGCGACGGGCAACCTTTATTGCAAAAGGGCCAATTACAAGAACTTCTTGCAAAAACACCAGGCGCGTCAGCGTAGAAGCATGCAACCTGCTTGATATTTTCTTATGGAATTCAACATACTAAAGCTGATCATTATGTAAGCACGACGACACTCAACATCACTACAGACAGGCCTGTCATAATTAAGAGAAAGACTGTGAGTTTAAGAAATCGCTATATGGAAAAATATATTATTAAAAAAGTTGTTACAAAGTTGTATACGAACCTAAGCACAACATGTTAAAAATAATTTTGTTCTATTTTTACTTCTAGGAAATGTAGAAACAAGTGAACTGATATTGACTTTAGATGGTAACCGAAAAACTAATACTATGAATACAAGAAGCGGTCCATTCCAACAAAATTAATCCAAGGAGATGGAAGGATGTTGCATTTGGAAATTCATAAACTTAAAATTTGTATAAGTCTACAGGACAAGAGGAAAATGTCACAGTCGTGTAAAAGCGTATTACATTATTTATTTTTAAACGAGAAACAAAACTAGCTGTGATGAGTAAGAATCTTTCAGTGTTTGTCTTTCTCAGTGCACCGATTTCCTGTCAGTTCAGTGCCTACTACAATCATCAATCACGTGAAAACAAATTACGAAAGTCACGATAAATCTCAGTCAGAGTAGCTAATAACGTTGATAATATTCGAACCCTGAACATCCCGAATACAAATCCAAAACGTCACCGCTACACTAGCTTACTTGTTCTGCTGCTTTAAGAATAACAAGGGAAACCACTTTAACATTTCGGCTCTGGGAAGGGACACAAGTTCGTCCAATTTCCCTCCTGCAAACTTTTTTAAAGTGTAATGAATTTCAAACCGCAGTCACGGATATGACGTCATAACGGAAGAACATATCCTGAGTCGCCTGTACAATATGGCGCCAACAGCCAACAGCAGGACCCTCTATATTTAACCGAATGATGTGTTCAGTGTCCATCCTCTCGTGGGCAAAATGGTCGACTTATCAAAGCGGAAAGTTTTTGATCATTTCTTTATGAAGCACTTTCACAAACACGGTGCCTTCAAATCACTGTTGAGAGCCACACTCTCTGTAATGTCGTCCTCAGCATATCAATAAAGCGTATATGCCTCTACTGCGTCGAATCTGAAATCTGTGTCAAGCATACAGCAACATAAATCACAAGAATGTAAATTAAAGCTGTGTTTTACCTAACACTTTAAATGTTAAAATCTACATATCTCGATCGGAAACATTACAATTACCTACATACGTAATGTTATTTAATATCAAAAAAGGGGACCTCACAATTAAGGGAAGGGAAGAGACCACTTGACAGACTCAGGAGTAGATGCAAAGATACTAGCATAGTAACTAGGATTTGATGTTTTCACGGCGGTGAGTCTAAAGATGGCTGCCTACATAATCAGGGGCCATACTAATGTTAGTCCACTTGAAACTAATCTGTAATACTGCACAGACGTCTTCTATCGACGTAAATACCCCACATTAAGAATGAATAATTAATGTTAATATCCACGTGCATTTCTAGCAAGAATATTTAAAACTGTGATAAAATTGATTTAATATGCGGAAAAGTAATGTTCAATTATAATCTGCTGATTTTGAATAGTTACATTTCCAGTCTTTAATTTTCTGGCTTATAAAATAAAACACTAAATACCAGGCTGAGTATTCAGAATTACATTTTAAATTATTTTTTTGTATTTTAAAATACGCTCTGTAAGCTTGGCATCACACCTAGTTCTGTAAATACCTATCGTATTAGGAGCGAAGAATAATTTGCATTTATTAAGAAAACAATTTTTTAAAAGCATTCATGGGGAGAGAGAGGTGTACTACGTTTCCAAGGATTTACAATAATACATTGTTGATAGATTCCATTGTTTTCGTTATCGTCGTCTCTCTCTCTGTGTATGTGCACACACAAATCAACATTTCAGATCAGATTACATCAAAATAGATTATTGTATATAACAATACACAACATTTGGTGGTAAATAGTCAACAAAGCACTGATCAAAAGCTACATTAAAAGGACAAATAGGACATAGGGTTGAATACAGTTAACGATATGTATACTAAATTCAGGCCTGTAGCTCAGGAAATTTCAACCTTTTCCAAACCGAGAGCTAAACTCACATTCAGACCGCAAAGTTATGAATGGGAACAATTAGATTTAATAGTTTATTACCAAGAAGTTCTCTAAAATAAGGAAATTATTTTTCATCCTACAGGATAACACACTACGTCTTAGAGAAATGCTTGCGGCAGACAAAAATCTCGTCAGAAGGCCGCGTGTTGAGACCCCCGGGTTAATGATGAACACCAGTCAGAGTTTAGGATATCCTGTCCGAATTAACCGTAACGAGTCCCACAGATCAGAATCCTCATTGAGTGAATCAGATAATCTAGAAACATCTCACCTTTTTATGTAACTCGACGGTTCATTCATCACCAAGAGTCCACAAATTAATTATCAATAACGTTATTCTTGCATGTCCCTGACATATCAAAGTATATTTAATTTGTGTAAATAACTGATCGCAAAAAAGAGAGTTCTCATTTTTTCGAAATTTTACTCGAGATAATATGCGGTCAGACATCGCTTCCAAATATGAGGTCCGAGTAAGAATTGCCCACCCCTGGTTTAGTTCGTTCCTTCAACGTAAACTCGTGCGTGACTCCTGACTGGTCCCACGTGATGGTGGCACGACAGGCGTCGATAGAACGTGGCGCCGTCGGTCTGCTGCAGCGCCAGACCACATGGCGCCCCCGAGTCATCGCAAATGAACGCAGGGGACGATAAGAATGACTGGTACAGTGGTTAACATTCCCGCTTCGTATTCGGGGACATTCCCACCCAGGGGGGCCATTTTTTAAGTATCTCCTGGTAGGTCTGTACGCAAGGACAATGCAACAACAGTAGTCATCGTCTCCTTATTCAGCGTTGCATTATTACTACGTAAATCCTTTTAATCTTTCCGCCTGGCTGTTTATACGCGGTTTAATGTAAGGGTTATCAACCCGAACCCGCCGAATTATGTGCGGCCTCAGTACACTTTTGTATTTATAACTCAGTACAATGGACAAAACAGTTGAGTAAGTAATGAAAACGAAAAATCAACAAACATGTTAAAGACAATTCAGAAAGATGCTAATCTGTTTGCAATTTCAGAAAATATCAGTCACTAAAACCTGGCGGTCCGCTACTCGACAACAAAGGGTGAATGTGGGCTAAGGTCTTGAAACGTTGAGGAGCCCTGATTTAATGTATGTATCTATCTATGGCCACAGTTGCTTCGTCGCTAAACGACCGCACACAGATTTATAAATGACGCAATTTATTTGGTACTTAGGAGTCTTATTACCACGCGGCACAGCGACAGCAAAAATGGTAGAAAACGTGTGACGTCACATCCTTTTGTTTTTATGACACCAATTTAATTTACCAGTTCTTGTCTGAAGTACTGTGCCAATTTCCATATCCCAATTAAAAGGCTAGAGTGCTACGCGAAAAAAGTAATGTTTTTCTTTAATCCCGAGGCAGCAACTCCTTTCTGGTCAACGTAAACACATGAAGATAAAGTCGATCATATTAAATAGCCTAAGCAAATTCATTACAATATATTTTAAAGAAGACCTGGCCAAAAAACGCATACAAGGGTATAAAAAATTTCCCATATCTAAACGACTAGACTACTAGCAAAAAGCTTCAGAACAGAACCACCTCATGAGCACATAATGTTCAGGAGACAATGCACGGGACGTATCAAACTGCAAACCGGTTTATACGCATAAGAACAAATCAATAATAAAGGAGTCACACACTCAGACATGCAAATTGACTCACACAGATGGACTACTCTAAACCAGTCGCTAGGATATGCGAACATAATTGCATTATGTATTAGATTATGTTATTAGGAACAAAACACAAAATTGTGTACAGAAAGCCATGTGGGATCAATGTGAATACCACGCTGTTTAGTTTAAAAGCGAGTTTAGGTAAGTTTTCAATTCCTCAGTGTAAAAGAATATTTTTTCTGGCAGTACAGACGCGTACACAGTAGAGATACCTCTTTAAAAGAACGGAACATACGTTATTAAAAACAAATTAATAGTTTTCTTGGTAAACGATCACACATGTACATTGTAATTTAAAAATATTTTATACGAAATTATTGTTATATATATTGAATAACTTATTACTGAAGTACAGATTTTCTTTAAGTTAAAACTGGCTGATATAATGCAACCGTCTTATGGGGTTCGGGAGCAGTAGTACTTTTAATCGCCCCGATATGAAGAAAAGTTAAACACAATGTCTTTAACAAACAGACACAGCATTTAAGAGAGAAGTCAAAATTGGACACATAAAAAGTGAAAAATAATGTGGAATACTAAATAGCAGACCTATTTACAGCACCTACGGCTTAATTTTGTTAAATTTAAAATTTGTAGTAAAAATAGTATTCACAAATTTTACTCGAAAACCAGTACATATATCGCACGCGTTATATCCTTACTTCGACTAAACATCCTCCATGCAAAGTCCGCAGTGAAATTTTGGATAAATACAAATTTCGTAATTTTAAAATCGAGGTCTTACTCTAATACTCCATATGTGATACCGTGGAATAGTATTCCACTTACATTCACCCTGTATTATCCTCTGCCCGCAATTCGCCATTAATGTGTAACTTCCCTCCAATGTTAGCCATTTGCCGGAAAATACTTCAGAAAAGCTGTTCTGTAAACATTCAACCATAGGTGTTTGAAGGCAGTCCACTATAATAATCGCTACACCCGTGCATTTCTTGAGAAATTCTGTTTTCAGACTTGCTCTAAACAACGT